AGGAGGTACTAAACCAAGGGCACCGAGTAGAATGGGGAGCCTGACGACAATGTACTTGGGATGCAAGCTAGACATTTCAAAAGCGAGATCCGCATATTTAGAATGCTTTTCCTGAATCTTGCCAATCACGTTGCTGTCAAAAGGGACAGAAAATTCAATGATATAAATCAATTCATTGGCTTTGTCAAAAAGCACAAGATCAGGTTTGTTGGCAGGAATTCTTCTCAGGCTGTATATGGGCCGATTCCACAGAAGTTTAAAGCTGTCATTTTCCATGACGCCCTGGACATATTCAGGGTCGTACCATGGATGGACCTCGGAGTCAAAGTCACAGGCATGGCGAAGACGATAGTAGAAGCAACGAGACATGCCATCATGTCTTTTAAGATATGCTGTTTGTGCCAAGGAAGGGCATCCACTGACTATTGTTATTTGATATTTATATAGCGCCCATATCCACGCACTAGTGCCTGCTCAAAGCGCTGGTATCCCCCCTGTTTTCATTGTTAACTCCGCACTAGATGTGTTTCAACTCAGATGTTTGCACCACCTGCTGATACAGGAACAGGAAGTCCTTCTGGAACCCACTGCCATCCCGTGACCCGGATGTAGCGGCGGCTATTCTGGTGGTGTTGGCATCAAAGGAGAATCGGGTTGTACTCTGTCCGAATACAACATGTATTATATTACAGAAGCACATGTTACACGTGGGACTGTAAGAATATAACTATAAAGAATATAAAGTAAATAGAAGCGACAAAACTCTTTCCAGATTCATAAGAAATCTCTGCTAAAAGCAGAGTCGATTGTACAAATGTGACAATAACATGCTATATTTGTTTCAGCAGTATTACAGCTGTGCGATGTTTGTAAACAAATCGAGTAAAGTTAATAAAACTGACAGAAAACTATCATTTTTTATACAGTCATAGGTAATCCCTTTTAAACGAAAGGACATGTAGGACAGTCATTTCGACTAAAACTGACTGGGGTAGAATGTGGTTTTCACAGCTCTGTTTAAACTTTTGAGTCAGTGCATTCTGCCAATGATAACATCACGCAAGGATTGAACCCGCTCTAAAAGACTTTCACCATGTTCCTCAACTCTTTTGGCCAATTTTGGTGTGCATGTCTGGGCATCACACAGTTAAGTGGGCAAGATAGTCCTGTTTGTAGTTGACGAGATATCAACTGTTCTGTACTCGCTTCCAGAACGGCTCCTGCATGGTACATTAACATGTTGGTATCTCTCGTCTTAAGAGTAATAATATTTTTTACATTATTATCAATCTTCATTACATTTACAATCGTAACCACATGAAGATGTGAAACCATCTAATCTATATTACACTAGGAACCGGAAGCAGCCTAAAGATGAATACTTTGATTAGCGTTTGCTCCAAATTACTTTCGTTTCACTGTGTGGAACGGATACAACTCATTCGTCCTGACAAGGTCAAAGACGAATGGGCTTGCTTTTCGTGGAACTAGACATCGTTATTCATGACACGGGTAAGACAGGGCTTGTTCTTCGTGTGACAAACACCTTCATTTGTGAGAAAATGGATTCAGCTAAGACGGAGACAGCCCTGTCTCCATGTAATGGACACATGTACGTGTCAGAATGGACACAGGTAAGACAGGGCTTGCTCTTCATGTAACGAACACCTTCACTTGTGAGAATGTACACAGCAAATACATCACGACCCTAAAGTTTAGTTTATTTGTTTGTTTGTTTGTTGTTTAACGCCGCAATCAGTAATATTCCAGACGGTCTACAATTAAATCGAGTCTGGACCAGACAATCCAGTGATCAACATCATGAGCATCGATCTACGAAGTCTGGATATGATGACATGTGTCAACCAAGTCAGCAAGCCTGAAAACCCGATCCCGTACGTTAGTAGCCTCTTACAAGCATGGGTTTCTGAAGACCAATTCTTACCAGGATCTTCAGAGGACCCAGACCGCCTCCGTGGTGTAGTGGTTAGAGCGTCCGCCCGGAGAGCGGAAGGGCGCGGGTTCAATCCCTGACCGCGTCATACCAAAAGACGTTAAAATATGGTACTTGTTGGTCCCTGCCTGGCGTTCGGTATTAATGGGTACAACAAGGACTGGTCGGCTCGGAGTCAGTATAATGTGTCTGAGTGGGGTATTCATGCTTCACTGCGGCATGGTATCTCAGTGGGCTAGCACTATAAAACCAGCTTCTGTCTGGGCTAGTACAAGCAGCCACACATACACATACACACACATGCACGTCGTCATATGAGCGAAATATTCTCAAGCACGACGTAAAACCCAATTTCACCACACCTCACCTCAGAGGTCCCTTAACAAAGGACAAACCTAGGTGTTATACGTATCTTCACCCCCAAGAAAGGAACACCTTATCGATGCCAAAGACACCTGTTACGTTTGGTATTTGTCGGAACTTAAACATGCTGTTTTCTCTGCCATTTTAGAACATGATACCAGTGGCTCTTTAATTCTTGACCTAATAAAGGGTTTACATAGTATTCTACACACTTGGCACCACCTGCTCGGTCAAAGATAATCTAGACTGGAGTGTGAACATGGAACAACTGACGGCAATACTCAATCGTATATATGTTTTTCTGTGTTTTATCAAAAGGCGTTTAGCAAAAACAGACACGGACGTGAACATAAAGATCCAGTACACCTGTATAAGGATGATCTGTGTCAATACCTCTTGTCTGACCTCTTCCAAACATTCTAGCACACCAGATAGCATATTATGATTACTTTTGGTTTGAACTTGAGACGTTAGGCTTCCGCGTTATTGTGCCTGTGTATGTCTGTGATATGATCCTATCTACATCCTGACGATGGTAAACATAACTGCCTCTCTGTGGGTGTAATTGAGATCAAAACAAACAACTCTAAGAACTGGTATTTCCGAGTTACAATGGGTCCCAGGAACCAGAGGCTTGAGTGAATGAGATGCTTGCTAGAGTGAGTGAGTATGGTTTTACGCCGCTTTTAGCAATATTCCAGTAATATCACGGATGGAACACAGGAAATGGCCTCACAACATTATACCCATTTTCGGAATCGAACCCAGGTCTTCGGCACCACTAGGCCACCCCATGGATCCCTATGCATCTTCAAGGATAGGCGTTGTTCATTCAAGGTGTGTTTGGTCTTGAACTCGAAGTGAAGCCAAACCCGTGAAGGTCTAGGTCAGATTTGATCTTCATCAACCTATGCTTGTTATAAGAGGCGACTGACGGGATCAGTTGCTCAGGTTCGCACAGTTGGTTGACACATGTATCCTAACACCGTATATCGATGCTCATGATGTTGATCACTGGATTGTCTGGTCCAGACACGATTGTTTACAGACCGCCACCATATAGCTAAAATATTGATGAGTGCTCCGTTAAACAACAAAACCAAGTGAACCCATTCCTGATAAAGCTGAAGTCAAGCAATGTTAGACCAATTCTAACCCGGATCTTCACGGGCATCGACTGTTTGTATTCACTGGTGGTGGAAGGATTTGCATTATTCAAACCTCGTCGTCCACTTCACTAGCTCACAACACGGATATGCATGCACATCAGTTGCCTACAACGTAACGTCAACGTCTCACCTGCGTCACCGTCCCAGTGACGACAGCCTGGATTCCCTCCCACTGATGTGGGACACATACATCGTAGATGTCAACGTTAGCAACGGATGTCAGTAATACAACGACAATCGTGACTCTCAACATTGTTGCTGTTATCTTAAACAAAGTTCTGACCTATGCTGGTGTCTTCAAATCTTCGTTTAAAAGGAAAACATTCCTCGGTAAAGCTTTGAATAAGTATTTGGTATACTGGTGGAAACATTTGGTGGGCATTTGAATATTTATCGCGTCAGTAATGAAACTGAGTTCAGATGAAATTCCATAGTTTGATTTGCACTATATAATCCCTTTTTTGTGTGAATTATTTATTTGCCCTTGCGTGTGTTTATGTTGGATGCCGTAGATGTAGATGTAGACATAGACGTAGAGGTAGACGTTGTTGCCGTAGAGGTAGACGTATATGTAGATGTAGAGGTAAACTTAGACGTAGATGTAGACGTGAAATGTTTGCGCATCGCGCAGGGGATGAGGTTCTAGTTTTTCCGAAGCATACGAATATTACCGAGGCTTTGCGAATGATCACTTTTGAAACAACGTCGCTGATTGCACAACTAAATCTGATTGCAACCAATCACGAATGGTGAACACTCGCACCATGAAAGGGCCGTATTAGAACAGAGGTTCGTAGGAAGATAGGACTTGAGTAACCTCTGTGGGAAGAGAATGGGGAATTTATACAGGCTGATATAACTGAGTAGATGAGGGAGGAATCACTGCTTCACCTCGCATTAGCAAGTTGCAGCTATTTGGGGCGGTAATATCTGAATTTGAAATATGTACCTGAAAATGGTATTTCACAATTCCATTCACATTTTACATCGATGTCCTAGAGGCACTGCTGGTCCAAATGGTAAACTTTAGAAATCTGAAGAGAGTTGCATCCCTTAGTGGCGCCAGGGTCCGAATGGCGTGGGTTCGAATTTTCGAATCACCCTGTTCAAGGTTATAGCTAGTCGGCACCAGGCAAACTGATATTACCTAATTATATGTAATTATACCATTTTATAATTTAATTACATATCTTCACGATAAGGAACCCTTGTCAGGCTCGCGTGGTTGCCACATGTCATCGTTACCCCAGTTGCGTAGATCGATGCTCATGATATTGATCACTGGATTGTCTGGTACAGACTCGATAATATACTCCGGCGCCATATAGAGGGAATATTGCTGAGGGCGGCGTTAAACAACAACAAACAAACAAAACAATATGGGAACCACAGTAACGTATTGCAGCATAAAGACCCCCACCGTTACACAACTTGTACACTTGACTGTAAGATGACAAGACAGAGTCAGCTGCAGCTAGTGTCCAACTCTGTTGTCAGACAACAGACTTTAGGCATTTTAGAAATATCCTTTATTGTCATATCTGCATGGATCACCCATGGAACTTGTCTGTCAGCCAGGTGTAGAGCGTGGAACTTGTCTGTCAGCCAGGTGTAGAGCGTCACACGGAGGGGTCTCGGGGGAAGGTGGCACCCAGGAGGTACTTAGGGGTTTCATAGGTTCCCTGGCACGAAAAAACATAAAATTTACATAAAACATGTCATCAAAACGGACTGGAGGATGAGCAGCGTTCTTTTTGGAGCGATATAGCAGGGATTTAGGACATGTGGGACTTTTGCTAATATTTACTACTACTACTACTACTACTACTACTACTACTACTACTACTACTGCCACCACCACATACTACTACTGCTGCTACTACTTCTGCTAGTATACTACAGCCACTACTACACCACTACTACTGCTACTGCTACTACTACTACTACTGCTGCCACTACTGCTACTGCTGCTACTACTGCTACTACTACTACTACCACCACTACCACTACCACCACCACCATCACTACTACTGCTACTACTGCTACAGCCACCACCACCACTACTCGCTACTACTACTGCCACTGCCACCACCACTACTGCCAAGTACTGCTGCTGGTACAGCCACTACCACCACCACCACCACTACTACTGCTACTACTACCTACTGCCACCACCACTACTACTGCTGCTACTGCCTGCTGCTACTGCTGCTGCTGGTGCTGCCACTACAACCACCACCACCACCACTGCTACTACTACTACCACCACCACCACCTCCACTCTTCCTCGTATTATACATCTGAATAACCGTTTCCTAAGGTGTGGTAATGAGGGCTCGCCTTTGTAGCAAGTACATTGATACCATATTCTGATAGATTTATGAGAAATATTATGAAATACCTCTACTTTTGCTGACTCGCAGGAAGATGGCAGCGTGAACACATCCGGGTTCTTGATACCCCGGGTCGTGTTGACGACTTCAGATGTTTGAAAGAATGGTTCTGAAACACACACAGTTCAGCAGTTGAAATGCCGGTGAAGTGGCCTTACTTTCACGTTGACGTTGACACCAGACAGTGTTGCCCATCACGTCACGTTGAGAGTGTGTGTGTTGTTTTTTTACGCTGTTTTAATATTCATACAATGGGTTTCACATATTGAATCCATATGCGGAATCGAACCCGGACTTTGCACAACAAGCAAACACTCTTACCACTTGGCTACAGTGCGTGAGAACAAACACACAGAGGATGGTGTCAATTCCCTTGCACTGACGGTACATGTTTTCTAAACGTTAATGAGTGAATATTGTTCTAAGCATTCCAGGTAAACTAGTGGTTGATAGCAAAGGTCCGTGTCGATTGGTCATGATGGCCACCAAACTTTGTTATACAATACAGACTTCATATCAGTTGGATCTATAATAATCTCGAACTACGGTCTTATTCTGCCCAGCCGGCAATGATACGTGTGTACTTAGCTTGTTTTTTCATCGATACACATCTAATCCTATCTGGTACCCATTTAGTGCATGTCTCGAACGAAGTCACTTGTTAAAAGAGCCATCACCTGTGCAACATTATGCTGAAATGTGGACAGAACCGACGCCCTGGAACTCGCAGAATTCAATCTGTCTACCTCGGTCACCCGTGAACATATTCTCCGCGGCCGACACTGCTTAACTTCATGTGATGCCTAACTTTTATTCTACGCATTACCTGCATCAATGAACCACCACTAGAGTGAACATTGCAGTATTTAAGTGAGTCCACTTCATCACTTTGTTCTAGCGCCTACCGTTGTTGTAGTTGCCAAAGATCTGCTGCAAGGCGGGCGTCATCAGTTCACCCGACATCTGGACCTTGTAGTGGAGGTCGCCCACGTCGCCGGTGTAGCCGAAGATAATCAGCTCGTCGTCCGGCAGCTCGAAGCCGTACCATGTTCTCGCCCACTCCCAGGTGAAGTTGCCTGTGATTGAGTGAGTGAATGAGTTTAAATTTTACGCCGCTCCAGAAACATCAAATCGGGGAAGACGAGAATTGGACTTCACACATTGTTACCATGTGACGTGAGGAGCAAACGCTTCCACCACTAAGCTTACCACGTCCCCTGATGCTTGCATGAACATTTTCACATATACAGTATCTAATTACACTTTTGTACTATGCAGTGTCATCTATACATTCTCATAATTTCCAATGATTTGGGATAACGAATATCGACTCAAATAGAACATTTTATATTGATTTGGGTTGCAGAACGTAGAGGGACACACATTATGGATTGACATCTTCGTTATTGCGGTAGAAGCGACGTTTCTGTGTTCTGTGACACCGTTATCATAGCAAGTGAAGTGAGGAAGAAGAAGCGGAGAAGCTGCATCATACCAGCTTTTATTTTCCACTTAAAGAAGTCGTGACATTTGTATCCTAGGAAACGTTGCTGTCCACCAATACTTGGCCAGTCAGATTTCCCGCCAAATGAAAGAGTACCCACTTTTTGAACAGGTTGGAGAAACCCGTACACTCTTCATGAACAAACGGGAGAAAACCGTATCCACAATTTGGACAGAAGGGAGAAAACTCCCTTTCTTCATGAAGTGGGTACAGTTTTCTCCCTTTTGTTCATGAAGTGGGTACGGATTTATCCTTTATGTCAATGAAGTGGGTACGGTTTTGTCCTTTATGTCAATGAAGTGGGTAATGTTTTCACTTCATTGACAAAACGGAGAAAAACGTACCCACTTTTTGGCCAGGAGGGAAAACCATATTCACTTCATGGACAGAGGGGTATTAAGGTATTTGCTGTTGTAGGCACGCAACTAGGTTTGAAACAGTTTACCTTAAATGTTTGTAATACGTGTTGGGTATTTATTATTGGTGTGGTACACGAAGACTTACGTGGAAGGCAGTGCGGTGGAAAATCATTGACCAGATGTTCGGCGTGGCAGTTTCCATCTTCTATCACATAAACGGTTTTCTAAAAAATAAACACTCTAAAATAAAATTCTCTTTCATCTGCAAAATTTATTAAGGGTAGACCTATTTCATGTTGGCATAAAGTTATCTATGCTGACATATGCTGCATTTTGACCAATGGCATCAAAGAGCTGTATCTACACATTTTATGGTCACACTATTTAAACTGCCAAACTACAGTTTGCGACTCTCCTGAAGCCTTTGCATCTGAAGGGAGACAAATCCGTCACCTGCTCATACAGGAACAGGAAGTCCCTCTGGAACTGATGACCGTCCTGGAACCCGGATGTAGAGGCAGCTATCCTACTGTTGTTGGCGTCAAACGAGAACTGGATCGTACTCTGCGAGATTATCAAGTATAAACATTGTAATAGCGGTTCTTTGCAAGGTTGATAAAGCCAAGATAGTCTGAATGATGGTTTGTCTCTGAGGATTTTTTTTCAAAATATTTAAGATTTCCGGACAGCGAATATTCAATAACACACAAACATGTGAAAATGCATAATGGTTATCGTCATGTGAAATGAAAAATAATGTATTTTTCAGTATGTTTTTTCTCTTGCTCACCCTCCTTCCGGGATCCTAAGCCAGGCTCTTCATGCAATCGCGAATTAGCAAACGCACCTATCGCTAGAGTGTGTGAATGAGTTTAGTTTTACGCCGCTTTCAGCAATATCACGGCGGGGGTACCAGAAATGGTACCCATTGTACCCATGTTGGGAATCGTACCCGGGTCTTCGGCGTGACGAGCCAACGACAAAATGCAACACAACGTTTGCCTTTTAATAGTGATCGATACCGCATGCTTTTCCGCTTACCTGCACGTGCATTTTGCTTTGCATATTTTCTTGGTGACGTTTTGGCGAATATTTCATCAAACACTTTTAAAACAAGGGGAAAAGATACAATTGCCGCGTTTTGGTCCTGACGCTGTTTACAATCACACAAAGACAACGTGGAAAGAAATAGTATATTTGTATTATTGTAGCCGCTGCTACATGAGTCCAATATTCTCAAAATCACCTATGCGTTTCTTTTTTTGAAGAGTGTAGATGTATACAATGTCGAACTGTCGTGATATCAATATATCCCATGCCCCGAATTAGCCTTTTATGTATATCACCTTGATCACTCAGAGGTTTCAAATGAAATGTGGTATATACCTATCATTGGGTTGGTTTAGTGTTTTGGATGTAATATTCTCCCAGTCACTATAGGATATGTCTTGCATTGACTCCAAGGGGTTATGCATGTCTCACAAATCAAAACATTGATTGCACAACAGTCTCGTTTCCTGTTGACTGGGTTCCGTCCTATTGCACAAATTAGTACAATAACCAGTCCAGAATTTTTAGACCAATTCATTTAACTGGATACATAAATATTAATCAGTATTATTTGATACATCTAAGCATTTGTATATTGCAACACTACGCTCCTTATAATCCTTGCAAACTTGTCGTGCAGCGTGCTCTGTCGTACAGCTTACTCTCACAAACAGAAACCTGGAAATCGTGGAAATCTCAAAACGAGGCTCTGCCGCTCGAAATATTTGGCGGTCTGGTACGGACTTGATATTATATCAATCACATTGTGCGTTACAGAACTAAACCGTCCGAATAAGCGCAAAAAAACACAACGGATGTAACCAGTGTACCAGATGCATTGTGAACCATTTTATGACCTCGTCAAACTGGGACAGTCTGTGACGTCTTAGTTAAGGTCATGCTGCCTACACCTCGCCATAAAATATAGAAATACGATGTTATTAAAGTTTAAAATGAAATTCATTTGTAAATACCATATTCTTATGAAACAAGGAATTGGAATTCAGTGTAACCATAGTTGTTTATGATGTCTATTTTCACTTTCACACGAGAAAATCGGATCGGCTGAAAAGTAGGTCATTGTCTGAACAGGTTAATGAGACTCATGCTTCGTTTTGCTAGTTTGGTGTAGAATATATATCAACTGGATCGAATAAATTTGGTATGTAGCTCACATGTGTTACTGTAGGATCTATTCCTCCTAAATCTACATCATTATAAGGTTGAAAACCCCCACCTGGATGATTAGTCAGTCTAGATTGGCAATGTGATAGACAAAATCTACACTAGACTGTTTCGTAAGTAGATCTCTGTGGGTTATATCTATCTGGACCACATAAGCACTGAGTTCACCTAGCTCACTGTAGGGTATATCATACCTGGATCACTGTGGGGTATATATCATCTGAATTACTGTAGGATATATAAACTCTGTCAAAAAAGAAACGCAACCCCTGTCCTCAGATATGAAAAATTCGTTTGAATGAAGTTATTGCTTCCAAACTAAATTTTATTCGAATGTATTGAAATGATACACGTAATTAATGAAGATTACCATCCAAACAACTGCATTTGTACGCATAAGTGTATTTTATTGCTTATTCCGTCACAACGCATGAAATGACCCTCATGGTGACTTCGCACAAAAAAAACACATGCAAATCATGAAAATGGCAGTTAATGTAGGGGTGTATAAAAGCCCATGTGCCTCCGTATTATATTCATTCATTTGTCGCCGAAAAGCTGTGTTAAAAATGCCACGATTGAGTGCTGCCGACCGAAATATCGCCATTGGTCGTGTTCAAGCCGGAGAAAGTTTTGGAACTGTTGCACGGCACCTAAATGTTCACAAAACAACGATATCCCGACTTTGGAGCCGCTACAACAACTTCAATTTGACCAACGATCGCCCGAGAAGTGGAAGGCCAAGAATCACGACCCCCCCTTCAAGATCGGTACATCCGGGTCCATCACCTGCGTAATCGGCATGCCCTACCAACCGTGACTGCCACACAAATACCAGGTTTGAGGAGAGTGTCAGCTCAAACGATTAGGAACCGTCTGAAAGAAGCGGGTTTACGTGCCTGTAGACCAGTTGTTGGACCTGTACTACGCCCCCTACATCGACGCCGACGACTCAGGTGGTGCAACAACGTAAGGATACGGACTTTACAAAACTGGAGGCGAATCTGGTTTTCTGATGAATCACGTTTTCTTTTGCAACGTCACGACGGAAGACAGCGTCTGTATAGGAGACGTCATAAACGTTTAGCGCCCATCTGCGTCCGACAGGTGGACAGATTTGGCGGAGAAAGCGTCATGGTTTGGGGAACCATCTCATACAACCAGAAATCTGACTTGGTGATCGTTCCAGGAACCTGACAGCCCAACGTTACATCAACCACGTGTTAGAGCTTCACCTTCTCCCGATTATTGACCAACAGACACAGATTTTTCAACGGGACAACGCCCGGCCTCATACTGCACGTGCAACAATGAACTTTCTGCAGAATTCCAACGTCAATGTCTTGCCATGACCCTCTAAATCACCAGACCTCAACCCTATTGAACACCTGTGGGATACTCTGGATCGACGCGTACGTCAACGTCAGCCGCCGCCACAGACGCTGCAACAGCTCGCCGTTGCACTGCAGGAGGAGTGGAGAGCCATTCCCCAGGAAAGAATCCGGCGTCTTATCCGTTCTTGTCCAAGGAGATGCCGTGCAGTGATTGCAGCGCGTGGTGCTCATACGAGATACTGAGACAGACGCCCCCCCTGGTGACAAACTGGTGTCTGTGAGATGACTTTTGAAATGACAATTTTAAACATGCCCATCTGGGTTATTATTCTGCCAAATTTCAGACTTCTGTCTTAAATAATAAAAATGCCGTGTCGTCCTAAAACTTCAGATCAAAATCTCTAAAATACAGGGGGTTGCGTTTCTTTTTTGACAGAGTTTATATATCATATCGATCGACGTAGGAATTAGATCACCTCGATTACTGCAGGATATACCACACCTGCATCTCTACATATATCAACTCGGTCATTGTAGGATATATATAATCTGTATCATTATCTTGTCTCACACATAAATGTCGTTTTCTGATTGGCTGAGCGCTCTTCTAATATTTTCAATGTACCCCTCTTACAAGCGAGTAACATTTTCTATGTACCCTGCTGGGAATGCCGAACTCATTTGGTACTTCGTAGTAGTAATTCTTTATCTCGAATAACATTGAATCACGTATGATATATGGCACTTACCGATGTTTTACGAATGCAAATTGATGGAAGGGATATAACTCTAAATTGTTTTTCTTGTCGTCTGGTACTCCATACTATGATCCGATACCTGTGTTTCAAACAGTTCAAAATTACCATTGAGGTGTTCTGTAAGATAAATACGTTGTTCACTGGTCCCTCGGGGCCCCTCGAGACCAGTGAACAACTTATATTATAGGATTTATATTACCTCGATCACTGCAGGATATACCACACATGGATCTCTACAATTATCACCTCGGTCATTGTAGGATATATATACTCTGCATCATTGTAGTATATTACCTCGATCACTGCAGGGTATACATCACCTGGATCTCTACATATATCAACTCGGTCATTGTAGGATATATATACTCTGCATCATTGTAGTATATTACCTCGATCACTGCAGGATATATATTACCTGGATCTCTACATATATCAACTCGGTCATTGTAGGATATATATAATCTGCATCATTGTAGTATATTACCTCGATCACTGCAGGATATATATTACCTGGATCTCTACATATATCAACTCGGTCATTGTAGGATATATATAATCTGCATCATTGTAGTATATTACCTCGATCACTGCAGGATATATATTACCTGGATCTCCACATATACCTCGGTCATTGTAGGATATATATAATCATTGCATCGATCACTGCAAGAATATATATTACCTGGATCTCTACATCGTATATCACCTCGGTCATTGTAGGATATATATAATCTGCATCTTGTAGTATTTTACCTCGATCACTGAAGGATATATATTTACCTGGATCTCTACATATATCTCTACATATACCTCGGTCATTGTAGGATATATATACTCTGCATCATTGTAGTATATTACCTCGATCACTGCGGGATATATATTACCTGGATCTCTACATATATCAACTCGGTCATTGTAGGATATATATAATCTGCATCATTGTAGTATATTACTTCGATCACTGCAGGATATATATTACCTGGATCTCCACATATATCACTTCGGTCATTGTAGGATATATATAATCTGCATCATTGTAGTATATTACCTCGATCACTGCAGGATATATATTACCTGGATCTCTACATACAATGTATATCACCTCGGTCATTGTAGGATATATATAATCTGCATCATTGTAGTATTTTACCTCGATCACTGCAGGATATATATTACCTGGATCTCTACATATGTCACCTCGGTCATTGTAGGATATATATAATCTGCATCATTGTAGTATATTACCTCGATCACTGCAGGATATATATTACCTGGATCTCCACATATATCACTTCGGTCATTGTAGGATATATATAATCTGCATCATTGTAGTATATTACCTCGATCACTGCAGGATATATATTACCTGGATCTCTACATACAATGTATATCACCTCGGTCATTGTAGGATATATATAATCTGCATCATTGTAGTATATTACCTCGATCACTGCAGGATATATATTACCTGGATCTCTACATATATCAACTCGGTCATTGTAGGATATATATAATCTGCATCATTGTAGTATATTACCTCGATCACTGCAGGATATATATTACCTGGATCTCTACATATATCACTTCGGTCATTGTAGGATATATATAATCTGCATCATTGTAGTATATTACCTCGATCACTGCAGGATATATATTACCTGGATCTCTACATACAATGTATATCACCTCGGTCATTGTAGGATATATATAATCTGCATCATTGTAGTATTTTACCTCGATCACTGCAGGATATATATTACCTGGATCTCTACATATATCACCTCGGTCATTGTAGGATATATATAATCTGCATCATTGTAGTATATTACCTCGATCACTGCAGGATATATATTACCTGGATCTCTACATATATCACCTCGGTCATTGTAGGATATATATAATCTGCATCATTGTAGTATATTACCTCGATCACTGCAGGATATATATTACCTGGATCTCTACATATATCAACTCGGTCATTGTAGGATATATATAATCTGCATCATTGTAGTATATTACCTCGATCAATGCAGGATATATATTACCTGGAACTCCACATATATCACTTCGGTCATTGTAGGATATACATAATCTGCATCATTGTAGTATTTTACCTCGATCACTGCAGGATATATATTACCTGGATCTCTACATATATCAACTCGGTCATTGTAGGATATATATAATCTGCATCATTGTAGTATATTACCTCGATCACTGCAGGATATATATTACCTGGATCCCTGTGGTATATTGTTTCATAGTAGGATTATCAACAGGCTCACTGTGTGATATAGTTAACCTTGTTGGTTTTAGCTCACCTGGACAACTGTTGGATATAGCTCACCTGGATCATGGTAGGTACCCCTGCCTCCACTGTCCCCGTGACAACATATTGGATTCCCTCCCACTGGCGGCGGGAGCATACCTGGTAGATGTCACCTCGGACACTGAAAAACAGCAACACTAAAATAAAAGCTGAGTTATACATGTCTAGCTGTCCAGAACAGTATGTCAGTCTTATCTTATCAAGTGACACACACTAGCACAGGCGATAAGCATTCTTTCATTCAGTTTACAGGGAAAGAGAAGTGTTTCTCGCTACCATTGTAGTTTAAGAACACAAGTCCGATTGTATTTTGGAAAATCATTTAGAAAACAAGCTTAAGAAAAGTGCATTGAAACAAACACTTGGAAGTAAACGTGAGAACGAACGAGTTTTCGGGACAACAGAACTTACAAGGAGAATTTAATCTTTTATATATTCGTCCCTGCCCTCACAGTCTGCGTAGAAATGAGAGTCCTACACCCTTTGATCGTATGTAAAATATGCGAGTATGTGTAACACTCGAGTACATACCGTGTGTGTGTGTGTGTGTGTGTGTGTGTGTGTGTGTGTGTGTGTGTGTGTGTGTGTGTGTGTGTGTGTGTGTGTGTGTGTGTGTGTGTGTGTGTGTGTGTGTGTGTGTGTGTGTGTGTGTGTGTGTGTGTGTGTGTGTAACCCCCTGAACCCCCCTCTGGATCCGCCACTGCATACGGATGTGGGAGGAGAGCTATAAGTGATGTAGGTGCGCAACCCTGCACAGCGGAACTACAGTGCTTGAAACGACTGGGTCGCTCGTTTCTCCAAAATAGTAGAACGGCGATAAACAAACTTTTTTCATTGATAAGGCCGGGTTTTTTTTATTAATTGGTTTACGGATCCGCCGACCCTAATTTTTGGCAATGGCAAATAAAAATAAAATTTCAATGAGAAGTGTTTTTTATTACCGCCGAGTCCTGGGTATCAAAACCTACATTAAAAAAAAAGATCGACTGACATACCCGATATTAAAATCAGTCATCTATCTGCACTGGTTCAGAAATAAATATTTCTCTTGTAGAAAAATCGTGGGCACGACTACGAATCAATAACAATGTCAGAAAACACTTATTAGATTTCAAATGACCATATATTATCTACAGAATATAAGCTATTTTTCGCAATGTTATTGAAAAACAATTCTCGGACACATGCTTCGGCAACGGGTCCACATCAAAGTTGTCAAAGAGCAAAGTAGCGATGTTTCAAGATAATAATTAAACAAATTGAATAAACTGAAGAACATATTCAATAACAGTACTCATAAAAGTTGTCAAATGTACATTATAACTTACTATTTCCATCTTTATTGTGCGATCGTGTTATGTAATTCAAGTTACATCTCGGCTTTCGTCGCCTCGAACCTCGCGCTCGGACACGATGTTTAATGCTAAAATATATGCATGAAGCAGTTTTGTCACAGGTCATAACCTAGCACGATACGTCCACTAAGCTCCGTAATATACGTATAGGTAGTGATCTTGTGCGTAACACGTTCAGAATAGCATGATTTTACCCAAAACTTTCGTCTGAATCTCAAAGTTTTCCTTTACGAGGACGGTATCCATTGCTGTAGTATGACTGGCTGTCTTAGGTCACGTGTGTGATTTTGACCAATCAAGATCCTCGTAGCCGACTGCGTGACAGAAAAGCGTCATTAGAAACCAATCTTTATCCAATAAATTCGCTTCTTACAACTGTGAAAATACTCTTGGCAAGGGTACAGTGATATTGTTGATGTTCAGAGCTTTCGAACGATACCCGCCATCAAACGAATCGCCTCACATGTTTTTCATTCGAAGCATCGAAAACGGAGGTATTTCCCCACTGTTGTATCACGTTACCGTGCGGAAAGCCACTTGTATCGGGAAATGGACGACCATACATATTATTTGAGAAATCTCATTTTAATAGTTTTCCGATTACGTAAACATGAAAATATAAAAGAAAAAAGTAAGGGATAATTATGACATGTTACAAATGGAAAAATCGCCGTATTTTTTTGCACCCTTCATGGTTTATCTGGACCTTATAAATGTGTAAGCTTGCATTTTCATTAATATTAACTTATTTACGTTGCAGTTGTACGGTATTATTTGAATAATATGATCATATCCATCTGTCATGACTGAATTAAATTAAGCCTCTGCCAATACTGCTTGACTAAGTCAAATTAATTTTTTGGTTTATTAACGATTGAATGGACAACAAACAAATAAGCAACAAGTCAAAGACGACTGGGCAGTATTAAAGTCAGTAGTGAATATGTCCCTTGTTTGTACTTTCATTGTATTAAATATAGAGGATATTTCATGTTTCCAGTGCAATATCAGTTACCTCTCATCTCATAATGGAGAAAGGCTGATGTTTGCAGAGATGTTACACTGGAAACATGACAAATCCTATATATTCGATGCTTCAAAGATGGAAAAGAGACATGTCCAGACTGTCCATACCATTGTTGCACTGTCACCAAGCAACGACTATTAAATGATGTCAGGTTGATTGTAATAGTGAGGTAACCGCATTCTACAGGTGATGTCAACATATTTTTGAAATTATTACAGAGTTTCAAAAACTCAGTCATTCACTCTTATGATTCACAATAATTACACTTCTCTTACAATATCAAAATTTGGATTATTTTTTTTAATCCTACCGACTCAAATGTTGAGACAAACACTTAAAAAAATTGAAGACTTTCAATTTTATTTTTATTTTTATTTCGACCACCGACCCTAGGTATTTTGGAAAAAAATCCGTAAACCAATTAATAACAAATAAACGGCCTAAGTTATGTGTACATTTCATCGCCCTGATATGAATTTGTAAGCAAACGCGTTGCATTCTACAGGTAACCTGGCTCTATACAGGATGTTTATATCCTAATTAGAACACCTGGGTACAATTGAGCATTGAAACTACTGTAAAAAGCCCAGGATATTATTGTTTATGGGAACAAATGACAATTAAATGTGTAAGGAATGGCTGGATATTTTTTACATCTCCTTTTCATCGCAACGCATGTGTTTATATGGGAAGGTGCTGGGATTTCGTAGTAGAAATCTGTGCATTAGAACTCTCCACCTTCGTTGATACTGGTGTGAAAACAATGGTGTTATTCCAAACGGTAATGGTAGGCAATTGCTAATGCCATGGCACCATGTGTTATGGTTCAGGTTTGGAGTTGACTTGCCTTTGCGTATGTTTGTGAGGGATGCCACCGGTTCTACTGAATACGCTGCCCTTTTCACGGACACTTGGTCCACCACTGTCATAAACGCGTGGTTATGATAGAGCCGGACTTGTAAAATGGAATTCGTTTTCAGTAGAGATTTCTTATGTTTATGGACAGGGTTGTCGTCGCTGACGTGATACAAATCTGCCGCCGTTGTCGTGACTTTAACACATTGGCAATGGGCAGCTGAAGTGAAAGGGATCCCCATATGGATGGCACATGATGTACCTCTAGCTAGGGAAGCTAATGAAATGCTCATGATAATCGCTAGTTGAAGTATATAAACACAAGATATACCTCCAGCTTAGGAAGTGCTTATGACTTCCATCACCAGTTGAAGTGTGTAAACACACGATATACCTCCAGCTTAGGAAGTGCTTATGACTTCCATCACCAGTTGAAGTGTGTAAACACACGATATGCCTCCAGCTAAGGAAGTGCTTATGACTTCCATCACCAGTTGAAGTGTGTAAACACACGATATACCTCCAGCTTAGGAAGTGCTTATGACTTCCATCACCAGTTGAAGTGTGTAAACACAAGATATACCTCCAGCTAAGGAAGTTCTTATGACTTCCATCACCAGTTGAAGTGTGTAAACACACGATATACCTCCAGCTAAGGAAGTGCTTATGACTTCCATCACCAGTTGAAGTGTGTAAACACACGATATACCTCCAACTAAGGAAGTGCTTATGACTTCCATCATCAGTTGAAGTGTGTAAACACACGATATACCTCCAGCTAAGGAAGTGCTTATGACTTCCATCACCAGTTGAAGTGTGTAAACACACGATATACCTCCAACTAAGGAAGTGCTCATGACAATCACTAGTTGAAGTGTATAAACACAAGATATTCCTCCAGCTAAAGAAGTGCTCATGACTTCCATCACCAGTTGAAGAGTATAAACACACGACATGCCTCCAGCTAAAGAAGTGCTTATGACTTCCATCACCAGTTGAAGTGTATAAACACACGACACGCCTCCAGCTAAACAAGTGCTCATGACAATCACTAGTTGAAGTGTGTAAACACAAGATATACCTCCAGCTAAGGAAGTTCTTATGACTTCCATCACCAGTTGAAGTGTGTAAACACACGATATACCTCCAGCTAAGGAAGTTCTTATGACTTCCATCACCAGTTGAAGTGTATAAACACACGATATACCTCCAGCTAAGGAAGTTCTTATGACTTCCATCATCAGTTGAAGTGTGTAAACACACGATATACCTCCAGCTTAGGAAGTGCTTATGACTTCCATCATCAGTTGAAGTGTGTAAACACACGATATACCTCCAGCTAAGGAAGTGCTTATGACTTCCATCACCAGTTGAAGTGTGTAAACACACGATATACCTCCAGCTAAGGAAGTTCTTATGACTTCAATCACCAGTTGAAGTGTATAAACACAAGATATGCCTCCAGCTAAAGAAGTGCTCATGACTTCCATCACCAGTTGAAGAGTATAAACACACGACATGCCTCCAGGTAAGGAAGTGCTTATGACTTCCATCACCAGTTGAAGTGTATAAACACACGACATGCCTCCAGCTAAACAAGTGCTTATGACTTCCATCACCAGTTGAAGTGTATAAACACAAGATATACATCCAGCTTAGGAAGTGCTTTTGACTTCCATCACTAGTTGAAGTGTATAAACACAAGACATACCTCCAGCTTAGGAAGTGCTTATGACTTCCATCACCAGTTGAAGTGTGTAAACACAAGATATACCTCCAGCTAAGGAAGTTCTTATGACTTCCATCACCAGTTGAAGTGTGTAAACACACGATATACCTCCAGCTAAGGAAGTGCTTATGACTTCCATCACTAGTTGAGTGTCTAAACACACGATATACCTCCAACTAAGGAAGTGCTCATGACTTCCATCATCAGTTGAAGTGTGTAAACACACGTTATACCTCCAGCTAAGGAAGTGCTCATGACTTCCATCACTAGTTGAAGTGTGTAAACACATGTTATACCTCCAACTAAGGAAGTGCTCATGACAATCACTAGTTGAAGTGTATAAACACAAGATATTCCTCCAGCTGGTGAAGTGCTCATGACTTCCATCACCAGTTGAAGAGTCTCAACACATGACATGCCTCCAGCTGGTGAAGTGCTTATGACTTCCATCACCAGTTGAAGTGTATAAACACACGACACGCCTCCAGCTAAACAAGTGCTCATGCTGTCCATCACTAGTTGAAGTGTGTAAACACAAGATATACCTCCAGCTAAGGAAGTTCTTATGACTTCCATCACTAGTTGAAGTGTAAACACATGATATACCTCCAGCTAAGTGAAGTGCTCATGACTTCCATCACCAGTTGAAGTGTCTAAACACACGATATACCTCCAGCTAAGGAAGTTCTCATGACTTCCATCATCAGTTAGTGTGTAAACACATGATATACCTCCAGCTTGGTGAAGTGCTCATGACTTCCATCATCATGTTGTGTCTCAACACATGATATACCTCCAGCTAAGTGAAGTGCTCATGACTTCCATCACCAGTTGAAGTGTGTCAACACATGATATACCTCCAGCTGGTGAAGTGCTTATGACTTCAATCACCAGTTGAAGTGTCTCAACACAAGTTATGCCTCCAGCTAAAGAAGTGCTCATGACTTCCATCACCAGTTGAAGAGTATAAACACACGACATACCTCCAGGTAAGGAAGTGCTCATGACTTCCATCACCAGTTGAAGTGTATAAACACACGACATACCTCCAGCTAAACAAGTGCTCATGCTGTCCATCACCAGTTGAAGTGTCTCAACACATGATATACCTCCAGCTGGTGAAGTGCTTTGACTTCCATCACTAGATGAAGTGTCTAAACACATGTTATACCTCCAGCTGGTGAAGTGCTCTTATGACTTCCATCACTAGTTGAAGTGTCTCAACACATGTTATACCTCCAGCTGGTGAAGTGCTCATGACTTCCATCATCAGTTGAAGTGTGTCTAAACACACGTTATACCTCCAGCTGGTGAAGTGCTCATGACTGTCCATCACTAGATGAAGTGTCTCAACACACGACATACCTCCAGCTGGTGAAGTGCTTATGACTTCCATCACCAGATGAAGTGTCTAAACACATGATATACCTCCAGCTGGTGAAGTGCTTATGACTTCCATCACTAGATGAAGTGTCTCAACACACGTTATACCTCCAGCTGGTGAAGTGCTTATGACTGTCCATCACTCAGATGAAGTGTCTCAACACAATATATACCTCCAGCTGGTGAAGTGCTCATGACTGTCCATCACTAGATGAAGTGTCTCAACACATGATATACCTCCAGCTGGTGAAGTGCTCATGGTGTCCATCACCAGTTGAAGTGTATAAACACATGTTATGCCTCCAGCTGGTGAAGTGCTCATGACTTCCATCACCAGATGAAGTGTCTCAACACATGTTATACCTCTAGCTGATGAAGTGCTCATGCTGTCCATCACCTAGTTGAGGTGTCTAAACACATGTTATACCTCCAGCTGGTGAAGTGCTCATGACTTCCATCACTAGTTGAGCTGTCTCAACACATGTTATACCTCTAGCTGGTGAAGTGCTCATGATGTCCATCACTAGATGAGGTGTCTCAACACATGTTATACCTCTAGCTGGTGAAGTGCTCATGACTTCCATCACTAGTTGAACTGTCTCAACACATGTTATACCTCTAGCTGGTGAAGTGCTCATGATGTCCATCACTAGTCCAGGTGTCTCAAGCGTTAAAACAACATGAACGCATTCCAATGCGCATTGATGCCTCGTTAATTTTTATTTCTGCTCTTAGGGAAAAATATGTTTCTTCTTTTCAGTCAAAGTGCGTAGAGTGATGTCGGTGACTGGAAGAGGAAGGACAGTCTACGGCACAGCCGACTCCCGGGGGAAGGTGGCACCCAGGAGGTACACGGGAGTTTTGTACGTTCCCTGGCAAAGACAATATGTCAGATTTACACAGAGCAGCAACTATATATTCAAGAATGTTGAGTGACATTGAATGATGTGAACAGAAATGCTCTCACTGGGATATCTTGTCTTTACATACAGTATACGTTATGGAAAATAGAAACTGTGTCTTCAGTGATACGAACCTGTGGTTAACGGACGAACGGTGAGTGAGTGAATATGGTTCTATCCCGCTTTTAGCAATATTCCAGCACTATCACGACAGGGGACACCAGAAAATGGTAGCCATGTGGGGATTCGAACCAGCGTCTTCGCCGTGACGCTTCGATTATTAGACTACCTCGACGCCCTTTCACAGAAGAGATGCGTTGTCTGTTCTACTATAATAATACTGTGACAGTTTTCAAATTAATACATTTACCTGTGGCTTAGCGTCTTTGCAAGACGGCGGAGGACTGAATACATCCGGGTTCTTGATGCCACGGGTCGTGTTCACGACTTCAGTGGTTTGGTAGAAAGGTTCTGAATCACAACACAGATGCAGCAATTATAGTATGGTTTTGAAGAAAGGTTCTATCAAAACACTGATGCAGCAATTATAGTATACTAATCTATCATTGTTATTAAAACAATAGATAAACAGTTTTGGGTGTCCATGACTTCAGTGGTTTAGAAGAAAGGTTCTGAATCACAACACAGATGCAGCAATTATAGTATACTAATCTTTCATTGTTAGGTTCTGAATAAAACAATTAAAGTATAATAGATAAAACAATAGATACAAAGTTTTGGGTCTATTTCGTTTAACGCCTTTCTCAGCATTATTCCAGTTGTATGATGGTGGTCTGTAAGTAATCGAGTCTGGACCAGACAAACCCGATGTTTGATATTGTGAACATCAATCCATGATACCATGAGACCTATTCTGAACTGGAATAGTCAAGGAGTAACCGCCACAGGATGTTGGGGGCCTCGGACACCAGCTCAGTCGTGTGACTAGAGTTTAGTTGTACGCTGCGCTCAGCAATATTCCAGCTATATGGCGGCGGTCTGTAGATAATCGAGTCTGGACCAGACAATCCAGTGATCAACATCATGAGCATCGATCTACGCAATTGGGATACGATGACACGTGTCAACCAAGTCAGCGAACCTGACCACAGTTAGTCGCCTTTTACGATTATGGGTCATTGAAGATCAATTCTAACCCGGATCTTCACGGGTCGTTGATGAAATGAAAGATCGTGTATTAATGTGTTGGGTGCATCCAGCATGTTCAAAATACATCCGGCTTACCGTTGTTGTACTTTCCGAAGATCTGATGCGACGCGGGCGTCATGAATTCGAGAAACAACTGCACGTGGTATTGTAAGTCGTTCACGTGGCCAACGTAGCCGAAAATCCACAACTGGCCATCCATCTTTGGGAAGCCGTACCAGGTCCTCCACCACGTCCACGTGAAGTTACCTGTAGAGGAGGACGCCAACTTTCGGACTATATGATAATTCCAACCAATAGACCATACATGTACAATGTTGAATTGTTGCTTTGTTCTGTTTGTTTGTTTAGCGAAGCCATCAGCAATATCCCACCTTTGTTTTTGTTTTTTAACGCCACACCGACAAGTATTCCAACTATATAACGACGGCCTGTAAGTAATTCAGTCTGGACCAGACGATCCAGTATTTGACATCATGAACATCGATCTATATTGAGATACTATGTGTCAACCAAGTCAGCGACCCTGACCACCCGATGCGGTTTGTCGCCTCTTACGACAAGCATGGATTGCTGGAGACATATTCCAACGAACCAAGACGCAAGTCTTGTAGTTACTTGAGGCCTAATCTTGGGGGAATTCCACACAGGGGATCCTTCACGTGAAATAAGTATATATTTGCCACATTGCAAATATTTACATATTGCGAAACATTATTCTTATTGAACGTTCTCTAGCGATCACATCACACCAGACAGAAACATGTGTGACTGAGGGCCGAGTTGTTGTGAGTCTTACTTGGAAGGCAGTGAGGTGGAAAAGCATTGTCCAAATATTCTGCATGGCATTTTCCTTCTTCGATCACATAAACGGTTTTCTGTCAATTAAATAAAACTTGCATTCAGACAATCAAAGTTAATATTTAAATAAAATATTGTAACAACTTTTGTGATTAGGCCATCCGTACGTTTTTGTGTTTCTCATCTTGATCAATAAATGTTAATTCCGACGTGAAATAATATACAGTTTCCGTATGTCAACTCTACACGTGGCTTTGGAAACTTGAGCTCTGATGTGATGAAAAATACTGTTAACAGTGCGCTCTCACGAGAAAGTACAACAAAATTGATTTCTAAGTAAAGATCTACATAATGAAATAATTTAAAGACTATTACCAAGTGACATAGATTTTGAAATTTCATATTTTATACAGTTAGCGAAAAAGCTTTTATTTACATATTGTGTTGATTTGATTTTTCGCCCGCGGGCTCACTTGCTAGCTGATGTTTGAGATTAGAAACACTTAAAAATACTGATGACCTTACGACGTGATGGTTTAACATGTATGTGATGTGTTTGTACAGTCTCGTCTCGTGTTGTCTTGATCTAACTGAATACGCTTGTCGCTAATGGTTTCGTAAATTTGAATCAGTGATTTGCAATCACAACGGGGCAATGATTTGTTAACATAAAACCCAAATTAATGGAGAACTGGCTTATGTGAATATCTTATGACCACTATGCTTATGAGCTGATGGGCGCCATGTGAAAGTGACAAGTCGGTCACCTGCTGATACAGGAACAGGAAGTCCTTCTGGAACTGATGACCGTCCTGGAACCCGGATGTAGAGGCAGCTATCCTACTATTGTTGGCGTCAAACGAGAACTGGATCAAATTCTGCAGAAGACGTACACGGCGGCTCAGACAGATGATTAATTTGGGTTAAACTTCGTATTAAACATTACCCGTGAAGGTCCGGGTTAGAATATTGATCTTCAGTAACCCATGCTTGTCATAAGAGGCGACTAACGGGATCGGGTGACCAGGCTCGCTGACTTGGTTGACACATGTCATCGTATCCCAATTGCGCAGATCGATGCTCATGCTGTTGATCACTGGCTTAGCTTGTCCAGACTCGGTTATTTACAGACCGCCGCCATATAGCTGGAATATTGCTGAGTGCGGCGTAAAACTAAACTCAATCACTCACTCACTCACGTATTAAACATATACATGAGGCTGGACATATATAGAGGATGGTCACCCGTAATGAGTGTCGCCGGGTGGGACAACTTAGGAATGGCCAGCGAGTCCTAACTTGACACACAGAAGGAAGCGAGCTACAAAGACATAATTTATATCATTGGAAATATCTCGAGGAGATGAACCCAAAAAGTTCATGTGCCAGTGCGCGCACGTGTTCATAAGCTCACAAATGGGCTCTGAAAATGCATTTCTGCAGAAATTACTGGCAGAATTAATTTTTTCCGCAGAAATTTCTGGCAGATTTTTTTTTTTACCGCAGAAATTTCTGGCAGAATTTTTTTTTCCCGCAGAAATTTCTGGCAGAAATTTTCATTTCACTACCAGAATTGTCTTAATTGAAAATAATTAGACACCATCTTTGGATAATTCAATATGGACTTTCTTCAAATGATGTTGTTTTCTCCTGTAAACAACTTCAAGTGGGAGGGGAAATGGTTCCCAGAAGTAGATCGCCGCACAAATCTTACAAGGCATATTTTAACATCTTATCAAGACGAAATGAAATAAAAAAAATAATTTGATGATTTCTTTATACATCGTTTATTCACACTCTGTATTACATGAGTTTCATTGCGCTAAGTTGCAGTCATTTCATCTCTGACATGAGTCCCGTTGTCCCTTTGGTATGGTTTATGTATCTCTATTGTTTGTAGAGTCAGTCGAACTGTACAATGGAACACTAAATTGTATATGGCAGATGTGTAATCTTGAAACCACAATGAAGCTGTTTTTCAAACAGTCTTGCAATAATCGAATCAGGATTAGGTGTCTTCCCCTTAAGACGACATTTGGTATTACAGTGAAAATCCTTTGATGTTTCGCCGAGGTAGACTCGTGTTGTTTTAATGGATTAGTGAGGTGGGTTATACTATAAACTGAACTGCATAACGAAATCGGTGTTCATTTTCATGATATCAACTCACATTGTAATATGAACATGATATGAACTCACTGGTTGTTGATTTCCATTGGTATCAACTCACTGCTTATTGACTGACATTGATTGATTTCAGCTCACTGCTTATTGACTGACATTGATTGATTTCAACTCACTACTACTGATTGCCTTTGACACTGATTTTAATTCACTATATTATTTGTTGATATTTACTCACTAGTTATTATTGGTATATATCCTGCTTATCCGCAATCCAATGCATCACCTTCGAAATGGCAAATCAGCAGTTAGAGTGCAAGTTCATTCCAACTTCACGTGGAGGAAGGTGTCTTTGTATAGATAGGATACATGTTTAGAGTGAGCCGCAAACACAATGCTGCATCGCGGATATCATGGATGTGCCTAGATAAGAACTGCACTGAAACTATTTCTACAGTTGAATGATGACATTCAAATGTATATAAATTATTTGTTATCGATAAACTTGTCACGGATAAAAATGTCATATGTATTTTAAGGGGTGTAAATAATGGTTCGTGGGAGTATTTAATTTATTTACCGGTTAACAATTTAGTATCATCCATCTGCTTAAAATCACACAGAACCTCCGTGTTCTCCAGAGGCAGTCGACTTGAAAATCCTTGCATGCTTCACTGATTTGTTGTTTTAAACATCACAGTTGTCGTCTTCCCGGGAATGAACTAACAGAACGAATCTTCCATAGGTAGTAGGTGAGTGTTTAGGTCAAGGGTTCTGATTACAGTATTATAATGTTGTGAACTGAGACAGGGATGTATGTATATACATATTGTATAAAACTTGAAATGTTTCACTTCTTCAAATCCTGCATTATGTTGTGTAATAACATAATGCGGGTAGAAAACATGTGTTCTAGACAGCAGTAATAAACGATTCCGACAAATACCATCCTGTGTAAATACTCGTAATGGCTAATTATTTGGGAGAGTGTGTATTTGACCGTCCTTTCACCTGTATCAGATAATTTATGAGACACCTGCGTGTGGGCCACTTCTTGTTTATTCTAGGTAATTAGCAATCAGTGTGATCAACTGATCTGGATCTGATCTTGTTGGGTTTGGGGTATTTGCATCAGAATGACAATAACTGATTCATGATCAGGAAACTAAAACTATATACACTTCTGTTATTACCTCAAAGACCGGTTTGGGGAATTTAAGCAATTCATATCATCATGACATTAGATGTTTTGGTTCAGTTCTGTGTTGGACCTATTCGATACACTATGTTTCAGGTGTACGAGGTCAGATAAAGTAGGTTGTATATATATATATACAAATTATACAACAACGTCATGAACAGCAATTATGATTGTATGTTTCATTAGCATTCTAGCATGCGGCTTCTTAATAGCAACTTCTTGTTCTTTGCATAAAGCAACGTGTGACGAGTAGTGACTGACGAAGGGTACTACATACCATAGCCTACGAAGAGCTGACCAAGCTATAGACTTCAATCAGCACCCGTTTTTTATGACTGTTTTTACAACTTAATCCGTCCTGCTTATCGGCTTCATGGCTGTGCTATTTATTGTTCTTACTTCCCACCTGGCCTCGTCCAATTATCTACCCCTTGTTATTCAAGTACACGATGTTTGTCACAGCAATTCTAATCACTTGGTTTTTGTCACCGTTAGCTTGAACATGGTGTGAGAACCTACAAAGAAACGTTGCTCTATGCAATTAACAAGAAGTTGCTATCAAAAAGACCGTATGCTTTTATTAGCAATTTTGCTGTCGCATTCCTGGGAAATTAGAGACAATTGTGAATGTCGAGTCACCACTGATTTTTTTAAATGATGTTAGTCACCCAGGATTCCTACAAAATATCGTGTTAAATTGTTTGAAAATATACCAGTCCTAATGATTCATTCATCCACATCTCTTGTTTACCTAACACTGCCGTTGCAATAAACAACCTATACATTGGATCAGTAAAAGAGCAAAACTTGCTTATGAAAATATCTCTTCAGGTAATGTGTTGAAACGGCTGGTTTGTGCACATAGATAGTGCTAAACATAATGTACCATTGCACAAATGAAATGCATAAAGTCGGTATTTTGAAGCTACGATATATACCTGCAAAACGCAGAGGTTGTTCGAGATTTATACAGTATTGTGATTTAAACAGTATTTTTTAAAATTTCCATTAATGTTTACATTTTTCATAATACACGACATGACAAACTGGAAATAGGATTCGCAAACAGGCCATATGGCCTATGTCAATGCTTCTCCGCATATAGTTCGTTATTATCTTGACTTAATTCTATGGAGCAGACATTAGGACATTAATGAATGAATCAAAACAAAAGAAAATAAAGAAAAGAAAATAAAGAACAAGACACCAAGTGCATTTTATGTTTATAGGTTGTTACTTGAATTCCGTAAAGCGGTTAGTTTCAGTTATATAATTCTGAACGGATTTTATAAGGTTTTCATTGTCTAAAGGAGATAAATCGTCATTTCCGTGAAGTATAGTATATATGCTGAGGTGGTCAAGGACAAAGTATCTCCTCGATGAATTTTCACATCGTTTTGTCACTGAACAACACGCTCCATGCTGTTGCTACCGAGATCATAATATATTGATCTTATCTATTTTATGATTTGTGTTGCAATACGAGTGTGAAAGGAAACGATTATTCATACAATAATATCATGAGAAAATATACCAATCACGAATTAAGCGCATATGATTTGCACACCACCATATGATTTTAGAGCCTCACGTTAGTGACTTAAATTCATATCGTTCTTTCAACACATTTTCGCTTCATGGATGACAACGTCTATATTATATAGGATGCGGCGTTTCAGTATAGATTATTGTACCGTTGTCAAGCGAGACTGAGGTGCTGTAGCAGACTTATATATACATCAACATGGATTAAGCAGTTCAAATCCGCGGACACAAGCCCTCCATCAACAGAGATGAAGGATATCTCATCCCATCTGCATACAATGAACTGATAGCAACAACTTAGCAGAGCATTCCAGCCATGTATATTTTCTACTTCTTGGACATTTGACTTCCTCCTGTTGTCACTGCTTTATTACCACTATCCTATAGTTGCTGCTGTTAATCCCTTTGATGCACGCCTACATGTTGTTTTATTTATTCCCTGTAAAGTCTGATCTGTGCAAAGAGTGGGCACCTGCTCCTTTTGATAATTATGATTACCCCCTCTCTAATAGAGTTTTGTCATTTGCAATGAATTATAGTAACCCTTATCGTAGATTACCCAGCAACATATGTTTGCTTGGACACTGAGCCGTTGCCTACCTTTTCCTGTACCACAAAAAATCTGCATGGTATGCACACCTGTTGTTGCTGCAGGACAATGAATATTTCCGATACGACATTGTAAGTACTTGGGGGTGCAGACATATGACTTAAATATGTTTGCGCATGCTGCTTAATATCATATTTGTGTAATACCACAATATACATGGATAAACTATCAAGCTATGCATCGTTTAGAAAAAAAAGTATTTTTAATACATGAAAGAGAATATTTATAAAGCTATAACTTGTGAAATTTAATTGTGCGGACCAAATGTATGTTTCATTACAAAGTTCTCTGTTAATGTCTTCCTACAATCAACAAAATATCATCATCTGGTGTTTAACTGAACCGATAAAACCTACTGGATAGAACCCAAAAGACGTGTAAGGTCCATGCGGCACCACCCGACATTGTTTTGGTGTTTTCCCCCTGAGTGGCCGCTCTCTGGATTACGCAATTGTTAATTGCTGTGGCCACCAGGGACAACCGAACCGGGACGGTGGCCGCTTGTAGGGACAGCCCCATAAACAACAAATTATCAGGTGTGAAAACAATTAGATTTTCTCGGGTATTGTCACTTTGAACAGTGATACATTGTCGCTTAGGTATTGTTTATCATCTCAGTTCGGTACGCTGGTCATGTTGAGCGTGTTGATGGAGGCATTTCTAGGAATATGTAAATGATCAAATATTGTTATTATGTATCTAGTATGTGTCCAAACATATTGAATGCATTTATATTTATAGGAAAAGACTGAGGGTTTTTCATGTTGTTCAGAATATATGCTAATAATAAGCGTTCAATGATTTGAATACATGAATTCATTCACCTAAACTATATACAATGTATATATAGAGAGATGATATATATGCCAGGGTAGAGATTGCAAGCGGAGTCAGTACTGGTAGAAACTTATTATATAGAATAACCTATGCAATTGCAATCTCTACCAGTGGAAGCTCCATTCTGATCCTACATATGATTTTTTCATATGTGAAACCATAGTTTGTATCAACAAAATGGTCATGATTAGGACATTATCAATTAATGCAATTTGTATTAAAGTGAGATACATTGATATGGAATTATTTGAATATCTTTACATTTTTCACATATTAAAATAACATGCATAACAAATGAATATTATTGTTCAGCAAATAAAGTGTTGTTTGCCTACAGAACAATCAGGGTTTCTACCAGTTGAATTGGAAATTGTACTGGTAGAATCGGATCTGACAGGTAGGATCCGATTTCAATCTCTACTAGTAGGATACTGGTAAAGTCTCTACTGGTAGAATCTCCGATCAGATCGCAATCTCAACCCTGACAAATATTTATATATATATATATAGGACACATATTTCTCCGAGAGGATCTATCTCTGAAACATTTGGCAACAGGGTTCATGTCTAACATGAAATGACTGTAACTTCGTCCAGTGAAACTCATGTTATACAGAACGTGAATAAAAGATGTATAAAAAAAATCACCATATTATTTTTATTTTCATTTCGTCTTGATAAGATGTTAAAATATGCCTTGTAAGATTTGTGCGGCGATCTACTTCTGGGAACCATTATCCCCTCAAACTTGAAGTTGTTTACAGGAGAAAGTAACATCATTTAAATAAAGTCCATATTGAATTATCCTAAAATGGTGTCTAATATTTTTCAATTAAGACAATTCTGGTAGTGAAATAAAAAATTTCTGCCAGAAATTTCTGCGGTAAAAAAAAAATCTGCCAGAAATTTCTGCGGAAAAAATTAATTCTGCCAGTAATTTCTGCAGAAATGCATTTTCAGAGCCCATTTGTGAGCTTATGAACACGTGCGCGCACTGGCACATGAACTTTTTGAGTTCATCTCCCCGAGATCTTTCCAATGATATAAAATATGTCTTTGTAGCTCGCTTCCTTCTATGTGTCAAGTTAGGACTCGCTGGCCATTCCCAAGTTGTCCCACCCGGCCTTCTACAATTAGAGGACATTTGAGTTCCTTATAACCGTAGATTGAGTATAGGAATATTTCATCAAGCGGTTTGCACTTTCGTCACGTCTCTTGCTGGATTTTGCAGCAATTCCCATAATAATAAGATATTATAAAATATTATGAAACATAATCAAGTCTTATCGTTGAAGTTTGAGTATGGGCGTGTTGTCTTCAATAAGGCCTCATGAGGCTCCATACAAACAAGGGGCGGTGGGGTAGCCTAGTGGTTAAAGCGTTCGCTCGTCACGCCGAAGACCCGGGTTCGATTCCCCACATGGGTACAATGTGTGAAGCCCATTTCTGGTGTCCCCCGCCGTGATATTACTGGAATACGGCGGCGTAAAGCCAAACTCACTCCACTCCACTCCATACAAATATGGATACTATATGCCTTTAGAACAATGTAGGATCAATGAGGATGTCCAGCCTCATCACAATAGAGAGGGATATCTCGCCTGCATCAGTTGGCTGACATATCTCATAGTATGTAGCTCAGTGTGACAAGTACAGTCTTCAACTCCCCTAGAGCCTTGTAGTACATAGCTCACCAGGACAACTGTTGGATATAGCTCACCTGGATCATGGTAGGTATCCCTGCCTCCTCCGTCCCCGTGACAACAAACTGAATTCCCTCCCATTGGAGGGAGGTGCAGATGTCGTAGATGTCACCGCCGACAATCAACACCAGCGACACAAAAATAACAGCTGGTTTAAACATTTCTACTCTTAGTGTCTGGGAAAAAGTATGTCATCCTTATCAAGTCCAAGGCTGTCACAATCACTGCCAAACCTCTATCCGTATATAGGAACATTTGAACTTGTATAGGAATTAGTAGTCTGAAGCAAAGTGATGGATTTAGATATTAAATTGACGTATACGTACGCACATGTGACAATATGAAAACATATGAAAATAACTACAAGTCTTCTGTCGTGAAACTTTGTATATTACCAAGCACTGAGTACCAATAGACTACTCTTCTGATATAACGACTCTCACTCCTTGAGCATTGTGACGTCAGATGGACATATAGCTGTTATAACACAGGGTGGCACGTGCCAGAAAGGTCAGATTGGGAAAACAGCCAGCCTGAGTAGAACGTGGTTGGGAGAAGGTCAGAGGTGGACAATGGACCCGGTGTGGTGCTCACCATGATGTGTGTGTATGTGGAAATATATGTGTGTATATATGTAGATATGTATTTGTGTAGAGATATTTACCTCAGCACTGTCTCACACCGTAATACCGAGTACATGTGCACCCAAACGACCACTATACTACTAAGAAACCCGAGAGCAAGGACAAATATGGCGTAAAGGCTTTACGTTTACTCGAGGAACTAAACACTTTGCACATAGGAATATTTGCCTGACAGAAGTCTGGGTGGAGATATTAAGTGTGATGCAAACGCTTGTCTAAGTTAAACCTGAGTTATGTTGCAGTGTTATTCATTGCATAATAATATTCCAAGTGTAACACATTGTATATTATGTGGACATTTGGCGTGTTCTATATCAGACTTGTGCTATATTTAGGCAGATTTCTGGAATTTGCTACGACCCTATGGGCATTTCTTTTATTCTAAATCAAGGAGTTAGAATCTTCATGAGTTTCTTTCTTAGGTTTATAAGGGGAGCTTAGTCTTGCCTCTCATCTCGCATTGCATCTCAAGCAGTCCAGCAATTATGTGGAGATGAATCTCACTCTGTATACTCAGCCTAAGCCTAATTGGAAACTTGACCATTGTTGCAGCGAATATTACCATCGTTGTCTTTATTGCTGTCATTACTGCTTTTGTGTTGTACTGTCTATGAATTTGTAATGCCATATTATTACCTTTTTAGCAATTTGTATTAATTTGTAAACGTAGCTATTTTTAGAATTGCTGATTACATAACATTGCTTTGTTGGTATAAAACCAAGTTCCAACATAAACCATTAGTCCATCTGAACACTGAATATATACTGATAATTTAGTTCTGGCAGAGTACGATTATTTCTTATAGGACGCCAACAACAGCAGGATATGCCTCTACATCCAGGTTCCAGGATGGTCATCAGTTCCAGAAGGACTTCCTGTTTCCTTTAGCAGGTGATGGACCTGTCACTTTCACATGGCGCCCATCAGCTCATAAGCATAGTGCCCATAAGATATTCACATAAGCCAGTTCTCCATTGGGGTTTATGTTAACATATCATTGCCCCGTCGAATCATTGATTCAAATTTACGAAACCATTAAACCCCAAGCGGGGTTGTCTCTTTCACAGTCACTTTGACCTCACTCAGCTCGCACGCACGGCTGTTATATGATGTTTTCATAACTTACTTCTATCTATACAGGGTTCCATGTTACTTCGGTGTCGGGGACATTCTGGAAGCTACATGGTTAGCTAGTTTTAGTAATGTGGCCACAACATCAGCCAGTGCTCCTAATGTGATTGATGAGACGATTTTGATTTTGCCTCATAGTTGCGATACAATAGCTGAGAATAGCTGGCTTTATACCGACATAAAACAATACTCAGTAGTCATTCATATCAATATTACTGACGTATTGTGTACCACAAAGCTAGCACACGGCCACAAATTGGCGTAAATATTTGAGAACGTATTGTCCGTTTCGTTTTCAGGATGCCATCGTTTAGCATAAGTTCAGCTGTTTATGAATGAAACAAACGCTTACTTTTCTTTAAATATCTGGTTCTACGGATTATCCGGACTGTTTATTATCTTCCGTTGCCGTTTCATATTTAAGACCGTATTAACGCTAAAACTGCAGTCTGTTTCATCGGATTATCCAGACTGTACTCATATGCCCATATTTGGGACTGTATAAATGCTAAAACTGATTTGTGAAGCAGAACCCTGACCACCCTGACGGTGACATCTACAGATATAGTTGATTACTCCCTGATTGTAGTCACCTTGTGCCCTTTATAAAGCGAACAGAGATAGATGTACTGAAATTTGGACGCAAGACGCGACGGTTGTTTATAAAGCCTCTTCAGAAAAGGTTATCCCATATCAACCGTAAATATCACACTGTGATGCTCGATATTTGCTGCATTACATATCTCTATACCATTATCAGTTTTACACATATGGTGTAATTCTATCACTTTGTGTCTGTTTAGACGACTTATCGTTGTTTCAGAAATAGCTAATGTAATACTGATCTGCACATGCATGCATATGTTGAATGCATACAATGCAGATAAGAATGCACACATTGTGTGACATTTGTTATACATTCGGCCCAAAATGCTCTTATCACGACAATGTCGTATTGGTTTTCGGCAGTTTGTAATGACGCCGCCATTGGTCATGAAGGAATCCTGTCTACTGCAACCAATCACAGTTGAGATAACACAGCGTGGTGTAAGGCAAGCTGTGTTGGTACAGGAAGGTCGTCGCCACTATTTGCCCCTTCTTCCCGAGTTCGCCCCCCAGATGAAGGGTGGAATGAGGGCATCCCGGCGTTAACAAATGTCAGGATTCCAGGTAAACCATGTCTATCGCTCCCTGTCACTCCTAGCGAATCAGCTGTGTAAATGGTAGAAGTTTTATAGAGGTTATTCCGGGGTTGCAACACTCGGGATGCCCCTCGGCTCACTCCGCTGACCTATGGAACCAGTCGGTATGGTCATTCAGAACCTCTCATGGCATGGTCAGGTACGAATGTAGCATTACGACATTGGAACATATTCGAATTGACTGTGGTAATAATTCCTGGAGATTTTATTTTAAAACATCGTGAGGATACCCTTATCAGCTGTGGGCGATGATCCATTCCCATCCCAAGCCCAGTTTCCATGGGGATGAAAAAATGTTACCGTACCTAGGATCCCGTGTTTGTTTTGTTTGTTGTTCAACGCTGCACTCTGCAATATTCCACCAATATGGTGGAGGTCTGTAAATAATCGAATCTGGACCAGACAATCCAGTGGTCAACACCATGGACATCGATCTATGCAACTGGGATACAAAGACAAGTCAAGTCAAGTCAGCGAGCCTGACCACCCGATTCCGTTAGCCACCTCTTACGACAAGCATGGGCTGCTGCAAACCACAATTGAATTTTAATTTTAAACTGTAATAAAATCATATTTCTATGTTTTATGGCGAGGTTTAGGCAACATGACCTTAACTAAGACGTCACAGACTGCCCCTGTTTGATGAGGTCGTAAAATGGTTCACAATGCATCTGACTCACTGGTTACACTTGCTATGTGTTTATTGTGCTTATTCAGTGTATGCTTGTAACGCACAATGTGATTGATGTAATATCAAGTCCGTACCAGACCGCCAAACTTTTCTAGCGGCCGAGCCTCGTTTTGAGATTTCCACCATTTCCAGATTTCCGTTTGTGAGAGTAAGCTGTACGACAGAGCACGCTGCACGACGTGTTTGCAAGGACGAGACTGTTGTGTAGTCAATGTTTTGACTTGAGACCAATTCTAACCCGGATCTTCAAATAGGAATCCGAATCATGATCGATCATAAACTAGAAGCGACAGTGTCGGGTTGTCGCCCTTTGTAGGAACAAAAAAATATTGTTCAAAGTGCGACAATTCGACAAATGACCAAAATGCCGCTGTGTCGCATTGTCGCGCTTTGAATAATATTGTTTATTCATCCAAAGGGCGACAATTCGACAGGTGCTGCTAGTCGATTACATAGCGCATATATGCGTAGGGATTGCTGGTAGAGGTAATCTTAACTACTGAAATATAACTGTGGTGATATGAAGGACAATTATCACTGAAGTATGTGGGTTTATTCTAGCTCAAGATGGGCTTACATAACAAGCACGGCAAGGCAGTGGCCATGTGCTCTCAACTCACTAGCACAAAGGGCAAACAGAGTTATTCCCCCTTACACTATAAATAGGACTGGGGCCCTGTTGGGGATAGAGGCCCATTTAGGGTGGTACAGTTCATACTAGAATAGCTGATACCACAATAACTACACCTGGAAGTGTGTCTTGTGTTCTATTCTTTAGGGGTTAACATTTCTTTAACAAGTTCTTCTTCAGTAGGTAAAATATCAATATGGTTTTATTCGCTTCGGGCAATATTCTAGCAGTATCGCGAGTGTTGACACCAGATATGGGAGAGGACAAGAGTGAGTGAGTATGGTTTTAGCAATATGACAGTAAGGACACGGACTGGGGACACCTGAATTGGACTTCACACATTCACCCATGCGAGGAATCGACCCCCAGGTTTCGGCGTGACGAGCGAACACTTTAACCACTCGGTACCCCATCTTCCGTGTCGACATTGATGACACGCATGTTGTAACGGTAAAACGTTGTACTGTTTGACAATTTGACTTTGACTTATGCGTGTATGTTGCAGATGTTCTCGCTCACAGGCAACTCCCTCGTTATAACGTTATAACTTTAAATAACACTCATTTTAGAGGAATTCTTACCAGAGCCCTCACTTGTTCTGACAGAAGGTCACCATGGAGATTAAAAGCACAGACGGGTCAATGGTGTACGACAAATGCCTAATGGTATTTGTCCCTTCTTTTAAGCACCAAGTCAGGTTACCGACCAGACTGGACTCCGTCTACTACACAGTCTACATGATTGCCCAAGTGGCTACACACGCAAGGCAGATAACGAACCAGTCAGGGCTTAGGCCTTGCAACATTTACTCTTCAGGTTTTCTCTCACTGCCTCCATTACGAGATAAAGAACCAATTCACAGTTCAGTGCTTCTCTGAGATGGATGCAAGCG